CCATAAGAGATTCTGATGATGAATCTGTGCTATTGATGGATTTTGAATCTGATGATGCGTATTTGACATACTGGTGGTATATGGACACTGGTTGCTTAAATCACCTTACAGGAAATAAGAAATGGCTAGTTGACTTTGACTCTAGAGAGAGTACAAAGATCAGATATGCTGATGATAAATACCTCAACACTGAAGATATGGGAAATGTCAGAGTAGTTATGATCAATGGTAAAGCAATATTGATTCTGAATGTGTGGTATGTACCTGGCATAAAAGCAATATGATGAGTGTAGGCCAAATAATTGAGAAAGGTTTTTCAGTTACCATGAAGAACAATCTTTTAAAGTTGCATGATTGTATTTAGAAACTGATTATGAAGTTAGAACAGGGGAAAATAGAACATTCAAAGTGGACGTTAAAACTCCAGAATTTGAATGCCCTAGTGCAACAAGTTTTATGAAGGTAAGCGAGCCGTGACACGAAATATTTGGTCATTTGAACTTCAGAAGCTTAGGGAATCTGAACTCAAAGAAGTTAGTACACGAAATTCCTGCGATTAAGAAGCCAGAGAAGTCATGCAATGTGTGCATGAGAGGGAAGCAACCAAGACTGCCATTTGCATATGAAATGCCTCCAAGAGCAAAGCATGCTTTGGGTGTGGTTCATTCTAATGTGTGTGGACCATTTCCAGTACCTTCACTTGGAGGGAATACATACTTTGTGTAATTTATGGATGAGTTCACAAGGATGACGTGAGTATCCCTCATAAAGTTCAAACACGAGGTGTTTGCTGAATTTAAGAAATTCAAAATCAAGGTTGAGATTTAGAGTGGTCAGACTCTGAAGATTTTCAGAACTAATGGTGGAAGTGAGTATAACTCTACCGAGTTCAAAAAGTTCTATGATGAGAATGGAGTCGAGCATGAGGTGACTGCTTCATACACTCCTCAACACAATGGTCTTGCTGAAAGAAGAAACCAAACTTTGCTTCATATGAATATGAGCATGCTAAATGAGAAGAAGCTCCCTCATACATTGTGGGGAGAAGTTGTTGCCATTGCAGCATATGTGCTAAATAAGTGTCTAACGAAGAAGCAAAAGGAGATTGTTCCTTTAGAAAAGTGGATTGGAGATAAGCAATGTGTGATCCATATGAAGGTGTTAGGTTCTGTGTGTTACAAACATGTTCCAGATGCTAATAGAAGTAAGTTAGATGACAGAAGCATAATTATGTTGCTTGTAGGGTACCACCGTAAAAGTATTTATAAGCTTTATTGTCCTATCACTAACAAGGTTGAATTCAGTAGAGACATCCTTGTGAAAGAGTCAGAAGCATGAGATTAGAGCGAATCTCAATCCAACTCTGGTGCGATGTTAACACTCAGGTTAACTTTTGAAGATACTTCAGAATCTGAAGGTTCTGAAGATGAGTCAGAATCAAAAGACGATTCTGAAAGTGAGTCTGAAGATGAGCCAGAGTCTGAAGATGACTCTGAAGCTGTAGAAGACTCTAAATGTGAATCTGATTCTGATTCAGATTCTGATGGCGATTCAGACTCTGGTGGTGATGCAGACTCTGAGAATGTTCTAGACTCTGAAGGTGGTACTTCTGAGGTTCTAACATCTAATACTGTTCCAAAACCCGAAGATGATTCTGAACAAGTTTAGAGGCCACAAAAAATAAAAAACATACCAAGGAAATTTACGGAGTTTGACATGTTGCAAGATACTGAAGTAAACTCTGAGGGAGAAGTCGTTCAGTGTGCCATGTTTGTAGACTCTGAACTAGTGAGTACAGAAGAAGTGCTCAAGAAGAAAGTGTGGCTGAAGGCCATGAAAGAAGAACTTGAGGCTATAGGAAGAAACAAGACTTGGAAATTGATTGGGCTTCCAAAGGACAAGAAAGTCATCAATGCCAGATGGATTTTCAAGGGAATTCTAAAGCTGAGGATTGATAACAAGTCTGCAATTAATCTTGCCAAGAACTCAGTGCTGTATAGGAGAAGCAAGCATATTGAAATTAAGTATCATTTTCTGAGAAGTCAAGTCTAGAATGGAGTGCTAGAAGTTGTGCACTGTAGCATCCAGGAGCAGCTAGAAGATGTTATGACGAAGGTGATCAAGACTGATTAATTTCTCCACTTGAGGGATGGAATGGATGTTGGTTTGTTTTGATTAGTTAAATCTTGAATTAATAGCAGATATTCTGACGAAGGCGATCAAAACTGATCAATTTTTCCACTTAAGAGATAAAATTGGTGTTGGTTAGTTTTGATTAGTTAAATCCTGAATTAAGGGGTGGTGTTGAAGGACAATTCAATATGTTAGTATTTAGCCTATGTGGCATTATTGTTTGTGTATATAAGTAGTAGTGTGCTTAGCTATTATGAAATATAATAGGAACACACTATATATATAGTAATGTAGCTGTCAACAGTTGTATCCACTGAGTATTGTAGTGCAGTGTGTGTGCAACCATTTTGCTGTAATCGTTTAAGCATAATAGTGGAAGTTTGTTATAATTTGTTATTCTCTCTCTTGCTCCACCTTCATCTTTTTTACTTTGTGCACCAACAATAATCAACTTGATGGTTTATGCCGCGTTCACGCAGTCAAAGCATTTTTAATCGTTGAATCTTAATTGCACGGTTTAAAAAAATCAAATTTATTTTAGATTATAATTTTTAAACTACACTTTTAAATTAAAGCCGTCTAATTTTAATCAAACGACTACCCACGCTTGTATGCATGAATGCATACATCAATCCCACAAAACACACTAAGATGTAGTATCATATATCATATGATTAGAGACAAGATTTAATATGAAATATTGAAGCTCTTACCAATTACTCATTCCATAACCTCTGAAATGTTAGTTCGTGTGTTTGGCTTGGCCCTATAATCTAATCTGAAACAATATTAGTGATATATTTTATATTAACATTTTTAATATTTTTAATTTTTCATAATTTCCCATAATGTGCTTCACACAATATTAGTCCGAAATGAACATTTGGCAATGAAAATCTTTGACTAGTAATTGTTTGACAAGCTTAGAAATTAACCATGTTTTTCATACCTAATCCATTTGTCATCATTTTTTTAATACGAAACAAGTTACATCTTTATCTAGATTTTCTCTATACCAATCTTTCACCGATTGTTATATCTTCTATCTAAGAAAAAAAAAATACTTTTGTCATCTTTGTTTTTCTATACACACATTCCCACAAATTTATTTTTCTCTACCTAGCATATTAACTTTTTAATGTTATGTTTGGTGTAAATTTTGGCTATAACATTTGTTTTTTTTTGGAAATGAACCTTCCTACAATTGTTTATGAACATACAAATGCTCAAAATGCGTTGGTTGTTAATTTTGAATAGTTGAAATCTGGTATTAGTTGGATCCAACCATGTGCACCATGTGTTTAAATATATTTTTCAACCTTTGCTATGTCAATATATTATATGAATATTCAAATATAAATTGGAGAAAAAAATTAATATTGAATATGCACAAATACATGTATGATTTTTATAAGAAAGTATATTTCTATGTGATGCGTCATTTGTCTTTTTCTCTGTGACCAAAAACCACGTGGGTATCCTCAACTGGTGCTGAATTACACAAAAATTGATTCTTCCTTAAATCTTGTTTGGTTATACAATTTGTCCATTCATTTTGAGACAATAGTCTTGTTTCAATTGGTTCTGTGACATGTAATTTCAACTGGAGGAAATTAATTTATAATTTTTTTTTAAGTATTATTGGTAACAATTATTGAATTGGAAAGATGGGTCAAGTTGAAGAAGACATACTAACTAGTTAATTGATATAAGAATTTAACTATTAATATGGAGATTTTTGTATGTAATTTATCTAAACTAACAGATATAAAAAAGAATTATATGCATCAAGTTGAACACATCTAAATCATCTCTTAATCCAATGGTCTACCTTTAGTATAGATTTTAATTAATTAATTTTTTAAAATTTTAAATTAAAAATTTGAGAACCTATAAAGTTGACTCTGTGTAGCACATAATTAAGAGTAACATCATATCATGTGAAGCATTTGTCTAGAAATCATCTTTGAAAACCTAATTTTGAAGGACCTACCACTTCATAACACAAAAATGGAAGTAGTTGTTGTTGTTGAAAAGAGAACATATACACTGTTTTTACACATGTAAAAATAGAAAAGATTGGAAAGTTATGTACAAATATAGAATATAAACACTAGGTTAGTAATTGTGATCTATATAGAATTAAAAACTATCATGTTATTCAATTCTCACATGGAAAACAAAATACTAGCAACTATGTGCCTTGTGCAACCCATGCTTCTTTGTATTAATTAATATTCTTTTCCTTTTTCTTTTTCTTTTGTTCTTTTTATCTTTTCTTTTTCTTTTCTCTTTACATAAGTTTTATTTTAACTAAATAATTAAACTCAAATAATTATTTAATTTTAGTTAAAAATAAATAAATTATTAAGGAGAATTCAAGTTCAAATTTCTAATTACACTTTCCAAAAAAATCTAGATTAACATACTTTTAATTTCCTCTAATTAAATGATTGAACTCAAATAATTAATAAGTTTTAATTAAAAATAAATCATTCTGAAAAATTAAAGTTTAGATTTCAATATTTTTTTTTTTAAATTTGTAGAATAATCGATTATAATCACTTAAAATACATAATCATGAGAGTCAGAATTTGAACTCAGATATGTCGTCCGACCTAATAATATAAAATTTTTTTATGTTGAATTAAAATTTGTAAATAAATCGAAACTATTTTTAATGGAATTTTATTTATCTTCTCATTAAAGTCTTTCCCTAGTGGGGGTTAAGACAAAATAAATAATAAACATAAATCTAATTTTTTATTGTGAAAAATCATGAGACTAAGTCTATTTATTTTTAAGCACTCTTCACTCATTGTGTACTCCTAAGTCCTAATCAAACTCTTTCTCTCTCTCTCTCTCCCATGGAGAAACATCTCAATATAGAAAGTGATGATGCTGATGACAACTTTGCCACATCCTCAACACTAACAACAAAATCATCATCATCAACTTCAAATAAGAGGCATAGAAGTGTAAGTGATGGTAATAACAATATCAAACATCCAAGTTATAGAGGAGTAAGGAAGAGGAATTGGGGAAAATATGTGTGTGAGATTCGTGAGCCAAAGAAAAAATCAAGAATATGGCTTGGAACATACCCTACAGCTGAAATGGCTGCCAGAGCACATGATGTAGCTGCTTTAGCTATAAAGGGTCATTCAGCTTATCTCAATTTCCCTCAATTAGCAAAAGCACTTCCAAGGCCAATAAGCACTTCTCCAAAAGATATTCAAGATGCAGCTGCAAAAGCAGCTAATAACACTTCATTTGATGAAGCTCAAGTTGAAGCAAGAATAGAAGAAGAACATGCCTCACCATCGAGTTCAACATTTACCAACGATGATGATGATGCATTGTTTGATTTGCCAGATCTTTTTCCTGAGGATGGAAACAATGGATTTTGTTCCTATTCTTTGAGAAATTCTACTTCGTATCTGTGTGCTGTTGAATCGTCTGTACACAGATACAATGTAGAATTTTCTGAAGATTCGTCTTTTTGGGAGAAATACTTGTAGTTAGTTGTTTTTACTAAGTAAAAATAAAACGTGAAATTTAGAGTTTATGTTGTTTTTTAGTCATATTTTGAAGAATCTACACAGAGAATACATTTTTGTATGTAATTAAGTGCTTTCTATTGCTATTTGTCTCATTTGGTTATGCTACAATGATTTGGTTAAAGTTGGTAACAAAGAAATTCTCAATTTTGGTGAATAATTGTGTAAGGTGAGAAAAGAGTCTCTAATCTTTGGTGAAATGATAATTAAGTCAAAAATAAGTTTATTTTCTGGATTATAGAGAATTGCAGCACATAGATTTGGAAGGTAAACAGTCATCTTCTCTTTGATTTTGTTTCCAAATATGCAATGTCATTGTCATTTTGAAGGAGTTGACTTTAGAGCCATTGTTAAAAGTGGATTATATAGAATAATATGTCTTTTTTCTACTTTTGGGTAAAAATTGTCCTCGTATACCTAGTTGCTAGTTGAGGTGTGAGAACCGAAGAAAACGGATAAAATAAGAGGATAAAGTAAGAATGTGGTAGGTAATGTAATATAGGAAATAAGGAAAAATACAAATAGGCCATTTTTATTTAATGTGACATAAGCCACCAGGTTAGAAATATAAGGATTTGGGTGATTCATTAATTATTCAGAGTAGACCTGAAAATGAAGATGTCAGACTAAGTTGATTGGATGCAGCGGAGGACGACACTGCTATTTTATAAGAGATGATGTTTTTATAAGAACTTCAATGTTCAAGTTAGTAAAGATTTTAGAAGTGTTTAAAAATTTAACATGGAAAAAGAATGTATCATTCACCAAAGGTTAATTCTTTTATAGGCGGCTTGTAAGGAACACAAATTTCATGACAATAATAATGTTAAAAAGACCTAAAATGGTTCACAGTTCATCCTTTAACTATCATCAAAGGGTCTTGGTTCAATTATAAGGCTAATATGATGTATTGTTGAATACATTGTAGCTTATTAAATTAGATCTTGAATCCTTTGTAGATTTTTTTTAATGACAAATCCTTTGTAAATTAGGTCTTATCCTAACTTCAAATAGTTTCTTTTCATTGTCAATTTAGGGTTGAGATGATGATTTAATTAGTCTTAGATATGAAGTGGAAGTCAATCTCATATGATCCTAGCCTGGCCCTTGGCCGCCCATCATGTGTTGTGTCTTTGCATTACTCAAAAAAATTTCTTTGTAGTGATCAAACGAAGATGATTATGGAAAGTTATTTTCTTTCTTGATTATCATACCTATCTAAGTCCTACTGTGACAAAGTATTAACTTTTTGTAGGGTTCTTAAGAGCCTTAAAGTTGTGTTGATTGAGGTAATTAAGACTTGTTAAATAAAATGGTTGTATCATATCTGTAGGATTTGATGAGGATTCAAAAGTTCTCTTTTGGTTTCGTTTAAACCCTCAAATATAATGATTATGAGTGTTATTTTTTTGAGTGACTATATTTTGACAACCTTATTCGAATTTTGAAGTTTTCTAAAGAGAACACTTTGTCTTGTTTCATATTTCATTATCACTTCAACTTCTATCAGTTTGACCTTCACCTTCATTAAGACATATAAATTATTTCCCTATTTTAGTAATGTTTAAGAACATTTAAGATTTTGAAAATGAGAAGTGAAATTCTCATACCCTAAGTTTCCATGACTTTCTAAGTAATGACATTATCTTTTCTCTTTACTTTGTATTATTTATCCTAAGTTTCGTCATCTTTCTAAACAACAAAGTTTATTTGTCAAAAGAAAACACCTTTTTCTAACAATGTCTTTGTATGATTTCCTAAACCACAACCATACATAGCACTCCAAACAACCCTTCAACGCTCTTAGTGATATAAAATATAGCACTCATATATAGCCTCAATATAAAGTATTGAGTTCTTCCACTTTGTGCATCTTAGCATCAGATAAAAAACAGAGGAATTTGGCTGGATCAACTGTAACTCCATTACCATGCATTGCAAAATCCAACCAATCTTGCTTGGACAATCGAAAAAGCCACAGGTTTATCTCTCCATCGAATCAAATTCGCCAAAGGTGTGCGTTCATGAGCCCATGCTAAAGTTTCAATCAATTCCTGCCAATATCCGCGCCATGAGATTAAGAACATAAATCCAGTAGCCCAAACAAGATGTCCAAATAAGAACATCCACGCCCAGACTGATAAACTATTCATACCAAAGGGGTTATATCCATTGATAAGTTGTGAAGAATTTAACCATAGATATGCTGAGACTAATTGCACGACTATTAGATCTTTGTAGTAATCTATCAACAAGATCTAAGACATGATTTGTTGAGTTGTAAATCCGGTGTCATTTTGGTTGTGATAAATTGCAAAGTTAAACGCAAATAAATCCATCCACAAGTGCTTCCACCTTTTAGATAATATGGAGGTTGCGACAACATCTTTAGTAGGCATTAAAGAAAGAATATGGAGAAGAATGTGAACAGGTAAATTTCCGATGAAATCTTTTCTACCGGAGATATTATATCTTTGGAGCTTTAAATTCATCGAAAAGATTGTAGGTGAAGCAGCAATTGAGTTCCGCTTGTACAATAACTAATAACAAAATTAGTAGTCAAGTCTTTATAGTTAACACGATGATACTAATTAAAAGAAACCGAATCAGACAGAAAAAATAGGTTAACTATTAAATCGAAATCCGCTTTGGTGCGGAAAAACCTAACAACCTTGCTTTAAAAAAAACAAAATATAACAATTTTATCTTTCATTATTTTGTATTTTTAAATAAATTTAATTGAATATTAAATTACTTTTCTAAAATCAATCCAAACACCATCGAATTGCATGCATGTGTATTTTTATATTTATTTTTTTATTAGTACGATATAGTGTGTTAGTTTATTAATTAATGATACTTATTTTTTTAATACTCTATTAGTTTAGTTTAAATCATGTTTTAGAATATTAATTTTTAATATACTATATATTATATATTATATCAAATTTATTTATCAACCTTGTTTTATTAATATTTAGAAAAATTTGATTTGACTATTTATATTCTGTAGTAGAGAGTGCCACTGTAGATTGTAACATCGATCTCCAACTAACTGGAGCACCGTGCATTTGAAACACATAACCAGTAGTAGATCTTCGTCTATCTAGATCACCACCATAATCTGAATCAACAAAATCACTTATTTGACATGTATCTCCATCAAAACACAATCCAGTGTTAATGGTACCTTTCAAGTACCTCAAAATCCACTCATCGCTTCCCAATGTGCCTTTCCCGGATTCGCCATGAACCTACTAACAACACTGACCGCTTGTGAAATATCTGAACGTGTACACACCATGGCGTACATCAAACTGCCAACTGCACTAGCATAAGGTACAATTCCATGTATGCTATATCTTCCACTGTTGTAGGAGATTGTTTACCAGAGAGCCTAAAATGTGGAGCTAATGGAGTAACCGCCGACTTCGCACCTTTCATCCCAAACCTTTCAATTATCCTCTCTACATATCCTTTCTGAATTAAGAATAATTTTTGGTTTGAACGATCTCTTGTAATCTCCATGCCAAATATTTTATTTGCAGCACCCAAGTTTTTCGTCCCAAACTCTTTACCAAGCTAAAACTTTAACCTATCTATCTCCACCTTGCTTTTTGAAGCAATAAGCATGTCATCTACATACAATAAAAGATAAATATAATCACCTCCATGAAGCTTCTGAATATAGACACAACTGTCATAATCACTTTTGAAGAATCCTTGTTTTATCATGAAGGAGTCAAAACGCTTGTACCATTGTCGAGGAGATTGCTTCAATCCATAAAGTTATTTTCTCAAGCGACATACCTGACTCTCTTTACCCTCAACCTTGTAACCCTCAGGTTGATACATATATATCTCCTCATCTAAGTCTCCAGCTCAAGATCACCATGAGCTACTAAACTTAATAGTACCTGGATAGAAGTATGTCTCACCACCGGAGAAAATATCTCATTGTAATCAACTCCTTCTTTTTGTGCAAACCCCTTGGCCACGAGTCTAGCCTTATATCTTGTACCACACAACTTAGTATGATCTTCTTTTCTTTTACACACCCACTTACAACCGATAGCAAACTTTCCTACAGGCAATGAGACCACCTCCCATGTCTTGTTCTTGTGAAGAGATTGAATCTCTTCCTCCATAGCAACCAACCAACTCTCTCTATCTTTATCTTTGATAGCTTGCTTGAAGGTGGCCGACTTATCATCTTCAACTGAGAGTACATATTCCACCAATTTAACCTGCCTATAATTCCTCAGAGGTTTGTCTGACCCAAACTTCTGAACTAGTTTATAATTTCTCTTTGGCCTAATGGCATCCAAAGATTCTTGTTGTTGTTGTTATAACGCATGTGTATTTTCATGCTGAACCTCCTCATGATCATGTTCATCCTCTTCCTCGTCTTCATTGGCGATAGGACTCTCCATCTGACCACGACTAGAATCTGGTTGGTCTTCAAGTTCTATCTCAATAACTTGCTTATTTGATATCATCACATCACCGTCATTAGGTTTAATAGCTTTTGACAAAGCTACCAAAGATTTTTCGTCAAATGTAACATCCCTGCTGATCACAAACTTAAAATATTCTACACTCCAAAAACGATAGCCTTTGACCCCTTTTGCATATCCTAGAAAGATAACTTTCTTGGCTCTATTATCAAGTTTGTTGTCCTTAACGTGATAATAGTCCGTGCATCTGAAAATTTTCAGTCTTTCATAATCAGCATGTTCACCTGATCACACCCTATAGGGCATGTCTCCACCTAAACTAGAATGTGGGGATCTATTTACTACATAACAAGTTGTAGCAACCGATTCTGCCCACCATTCTCATCCTAACTCAGAATTAGAGCGCATACACCTTGCTTTCTCAAGAAGTGTACGATTCAATCTTTCCGCGACTCCATTATGTTGTGGTGTGCCTTTGACCGTTCAGTGTCTAACAATGTCTTC